CCAAACCCTGAACCCTAAAACCCCAAAGCAGCCAGCTACATCATTGCCAACGCTCTCTCCCCACAAAACCAATATCACTCGTTTTTTAACAATCATAGCAACAATCATACAGCTCCGGACAACAGTAATGGCTACCCAAAATCTACGGCAAGCCTTGTTAAGTGCTCTGAAGTGTTGCCAATGGATGCAAATGACATGTTCTTAGCGCGTCACCCAAAATACCTGCTTTTAATGATCAAATATCTTAAGAACTCCAAAATCGACTTTTGTTGTAGGTTCTGACTGTAAGGCCCCTTTTGTAGGACTCTTAGGTCACCTACAAATAAAAGTAGGTTTTCTTGGTACTCTAGCAACCATATTCTAATATGGGTACCCTTTTTGGGGGGTTGGGTACTTTATCAGGGAACTTTGAACCAAAAAAAGGGGCAAAGCGTACCACTGGGCTACCAAGAACCCCTAAACATCCCTAAACCCTACACAGCTCTGACGTCATATGAAACAGAGTTGAAATGGCCGCTATTGGCGAGTGTGTTTTTGGATGTTCCATTATACTTATGTCCTTGATAGGGATTACAATAGGAGGCACTATAATCTCCATGAAGGACTGTTGGTATACTTGTAAATACCCAAGGTTTTTGGGTTCTTCAGGTCGGCCCCTCGAAAAGAGGCCCCCCCCGCTTGCCTTGGCTGGAGCCTCTGGCTGCTCAGCTTCGAGGAAGTCGAAGCGCGGCGGGGGGAAGTCTGCAGAGCTCTTCGGGTTTAGGGCTTAGGGTTTAGGGTTTAGGTTGCGTGTCACTAGGGCTTCAGATTAAGGGACCATGCAACTACCCTCAGACGGGAGGGGGGGGGGGCGCGTCATTAGGGCTTAAGGTTTCGGCCGCCGGGCTGAGGGTCGAAGTCTTGAGGTTTCGGGCGAAACCCGAAACCCTAGAGCCCTAATCCCCAAAACGGCCCTAAACCAAAAACCCCAAACTTAAACGGCCCGAAGCCCTAAACGCAAAGGGCTTCGCAGGCTTGAGTGTGGAATTTCGGCGTATGGAAGATGAAGCCACCATCTTTCTTTTCCCTGGTGGTGGCTCCAAGAATGTGGAGCCGCAAGCCCTGGATCCTACATGTGGGGTTTAGGGTTTGGGGGTTGGGGTTTAGGGTTTCCGATAATAGAGGTACCCTCCTTGGGGTCCGCTTAAGGGAGATTCTACTCTATTTTGGGGATACAAAGGGGGTACCCCTACTATAGGAAACCCCCCCTATGCATACAACCTATACAACCTAAACATACTTAAGCCCTTATGAAGCCCACCCTAAATCCTTCACAACCCTTGACATTGTTTAGGGTTTAGCGTTTAGGGTTTCGGGTTTAGGGAATTACCCACATGCAACCTAGTCGTGTCTAAGTGCCAGGGAAGCTAAGGAAACATCTCAGTGCTTCAGAGGAGGGGGGTGGGGTGGGGAAACCTTTGCAATTCAAGAGCGTTATCTGTTCTTAATGCTTCTGAATCGGGCATTCGGGAAGTAGGTACAGTACCTTATACCCGACAATCTTAACCCTTCAAGGACACCTGATTCACTTCATTACCCAATTAAGAATCACTAAAACGCAAACAAACCCTGGAATGCGGGAGAGCAGCTACTTTGTGGCCAGGAGCCACGTGCCCACTTGTTTCACGAGCATAAATCCCCTAGCCCTAAACCCTAAACCCTAAACCCTAAACCCTAAACCCTAAACCCCAAACCCTAAACCCTAACCCTTAACCCTAAACCCTAAACCCTAAACCCTAAACCCTAAACCCTAAGCCTGCACCTCAAGATCCCTGGGTGGGGCCTACACAGTGGCACGCACCCCGCGCCTGCTGGCAACGGCTGGCAGATACCTAAGTGAAGCTCAAACCGCCTGTACTTCACTTGGGCCGCTTTTCTAATCCGTACAAAGCCTTAAACCCTAAACCTTTCTTTGGGGCTGGCTTTTGAAAGAAAGCTTCAAGGCCCAGTATTTCAATTTGACTTAGAGTCTAACAGGGTTGCTACATCGTCCCGTAGTATGCGCTGCATGGCCTTCAGCTGCTGGCCGGTTCCGTACACTTAGGTCCAGAGTACCTCCACAGGAACCCAGTATGCGCCGTAGGGTTCTGATGAGCTCTTCTCGCTCCTGCTGAAGAAACCCTAAACCCTAAACCCTAAACCGTAAACCCTAAACCCTCTGGCCAGCCTCTTCCAAGCGGTTATGGTCGCAGTCCACTTCGGTCGAACAGTCCCAAGAGGAAGCCGCAACGTCGGCGAACAGGGCCTTCTTCCCCTATAGTAGCCCCTTCCGTCAGCTGCAACACCCAGGGGTCGGTACTTCAGAGCCTTTTGCCGAAGGTAAGGGACGTATTCAGCCACCCTGGAGCCTAAACCCTAAACTAGGCCACAAACCCTAAACCCAAACTCTGAGATTCACAAGACATGCAGAACCCCAGAGCGAAACCCCTCCGGGCTTGGGAAGAGCTGGCCCTCCCTTGTTAGAGCTCAAGGGCCTTGGGATGAGTGGGCCCTGATCTTTCTGTTGGATAGCAGGGAATGAGGGAATGAGGTACCCTATATAATCCCTTAAAGGGTATTCTATAGGGCGCTAATGCACGCATTCCCTGCTAACCAACAGCAAGTAATCCCTAAGAGCGTGGAGTTAAGGCTTCTTGTAGGGTTTAGGGCTTGGGGTGTGCAGTGTTCAGGGCATCGGTTTCCAGTTCTACTCCCTCTAGAACCATACTCAACATAACATGTTTAACTGCTCCATTTTAAGCTATGTAAAAAAAACCAAGGCAGCCCGGCATAGGGCTCGGAACATGGCACCCCCAGCATAGGGCTCGGGATTTCGTGCTGTAGGGAAGTTCACCACCAAGTCGCGATGCCGCGTCTGTTTGGCCTTCTGCTGACTTTCGCGGACTTTCCTCGCGACTTCTTAGACACCCCTTGCGGGGCTGATGGGAGGACTGGTTAGGATTTAGGGTTTGGGGTTTAGGGCTCAGGCTTGTAAGTAACAGGTCACCATATTGAGGGCTTCACTTTCTCGATCCGCCTACTCTCCGCCCTCCTCATGTCGCACAGGTGCCTAGGCAAGGTTAGTGCTTGAAGGTTCGGGGTATTTGAGGGTTTTAACCCTAAACCCTAAACCCTAAACCCTAAACCCTGAACCCTGAACCCTGAACCCTGAACCCTAAACCCTATGAGTTCAAACTAACCAAAGGGTTCGAGGTCAGAGGGCGTGGGGTTTAGGACCTTCCTGAAGAGCTTGAGGCGCTTTGGGTAGGGGATGCGAAGTACGGGCCCTTAGTTTAGGTCCCCTGCTATACAACCCCTATATACAGTATACAGAATAAGGGTCCATACTTCGGATCCCTTTAAACCCTCCCTAAACCCTAAACCCCAAACCCTAAACCCTAGCCCCTAGCTTTTGGGCATTCTGAGGCCGATGCGCGCCTCTGTTGGAATCTCCGTGAATTAGAGGGTTCTTAGGGAAGGGGGGTTCAAGGGGGGTTTAGGGTTCAGGGTTTAGGGTAACCCAAGGTTCCCTAACACTCCCCACTACTCCCTGAAGGCTCCCTAGGCTTCCCTAAGGTTTCCTCGGTTCCTACCCCCATGAACCCCCCTCCCTTAAGAACCCTACAAGTAAGGAACACTTTGAGGCAGCCACCAACCAATGCAGGGCGGCACGGTGAAGAGGGAACCCAAAACCCTGAGCTCTAAACCCTAAACCCTAAACGCTGGACCCTAAACCCTAAACCCTAAAAACCCTAAAAACCCTAAAAAACCCTAAAAAACCCTAAAAACCCTAAAAACCCTAAAAACCCTAAAAACCCTAAAAACCCTAAAAACCCTAAAAACCCTAAAAACCCTAAAAACCCTAAAAACCCTAAAAACCCTAAAAACCCTAAAAACCCTAAAACCCCTAAAGCCTAATCCCTGAACCCGAACCCGGGCCTGAGAAGTCACTAAACCCCGATGGCGAGATGGAAAGGAGGCACAAGTAAACCAGGAGCCGAAACAAGCTACCACCATGGTTCAGGCTTTTTCATGTTCAGAGTTTAGGGGTCTAGGGCTTTCATCGGAGATATCCCCCATATAACTAGCATAAAATGACCACACACACAAAAAAACAAAAAAAACAAAAATCAGATTAAAAGTCTTTGCGAAATCCTCCATAGACCCAGGACCCTAAATCCCAGCAGCGAGCTTTTGGATGCCTCCTTCGCCGCCACACAGGCAGAGCCCGATACCCCTCAAGGAAATCTAACCGTTGAGGATCCCTTGTTAAGGAAATTTAGGGTTCTGGGTTTAGGATTTAGGGTTTAGGGTTTAGGATTTAGGGTTCAGGGTTTAGGGTTTAGGGTTCTTTAAAGTAGCGACCCCTTTTTAAGGAACTGCGGCTAACATGTTCCTTAAAGTAGGGATCCCTCGTAAGGGAAAATGTGCGAAATATGTTTTTCTCTAAGTCTGGGGTTTAGGGTTCTGATTCGTACACAAGGATCCCTATATTTTAACAATTGCAATAGGGTTTCGGGGGGTATTGTGGTACAATAAATAGGGATCATAAGGGAATGCTATTTGTAATTCTTCCGGCCCCTATTCTTCGTAGTCGAAGGTGCTTTAGTTAAGGAGCGTTGGGGGTCTCTTGGTCAAACCGACTAGGCAGTCCCGTAAACTCGCCGGGGGTGCTGGGGTTTAAGGCTTGTGGGGCTGTTGGGGGCGGTGGGGGGGAGTTGAGGGTTGGGTGCGGCTTCCTGGTGCTGGGGGCTTTCGGGCTTTAGGGCGTGTAATTCGGAGATGGTGAACTATCTGGAGCATACATCCAGGCTCAGTGAACCTCCCCCAGGCTGCCAGAAAGTAGCGAACAAGGGGCTCATCAAAGCCTCTAAGCCGAATGCCTAAACCCCAACCCTCAATCCCTAAGCCCTACAACCCAATCCCTAAACCCTAAACCCTAAACCCTAAACCCTAAACCCTATAACCCTATAACCCCCGGCTCACTGCCGCTCTGCTCCGCGCCTGGGCGGGACTGATAAGATGCAAAGATTTTGGGTTTCGGCTTTATCTAAGGCTCCTATATAGTACCTTTTTGCGGTAGTGTACTCCCTAAACCCTAAACCCTAAACCCTAAACCCTAAACCCCAAACCCCAAACCCTATAACTACCCCAAAAAGGAGCTACATTGGAACCTTCAGGGTAGGTGTTAGGGCTTAGCGCAATTTCTTGGGGCGTGGAGCTTTGAAGGTTTTGAGGGTTCCAGCTCAATGGACGGGTTGAGGTTAGGAGTCTTTTTGGGCACCTGAGATGCTAAGAAAGGAGCCAGGGGCTTAGGGTCTATTAGGGTCTATTAGGGTTTAGGGTTTAGGGTTTAGGGACACGAGGTCTGCCGCTCAAACTCTGGGCTTCGGGTTTAGGGTTTAGGGTTCAGGGAGCTTTTGGGAATCGACAATGACCCCAAGCCCCCAACGCTGAGGTAGGATGTTTCTTTCTGTTTGCGCCAAAGTATGTACATCCACCAACATTTCTGGGAACCCTTGTACGCACTCACACCAGAAACCATGCTGTGGACCCTAATTCTAGCTGAAGCTGCTTCTTATCCACACTAGGCCTTCAAGCGACGCCAAAAAACACATAAATATGTACATATATGTATATATACTTTCCGGGGCTCCTAGTAAGAAAATGGATACTAGGATACAAGAAGCTCTCAACCCGAAACCCTAACCCTACTGAAGCCCAAACCCTAAATCCTAAACCCTACAGCCCGTCGACCCTAAAACCCTATAACCCTACACCCTAAAACCCTAAACCCTAAACCCTAAACCCTACTCATGGGACCCACTGTGGAAACGCTTTGTGTGTCTTGGCTAAGCGGAGGCGGTGACGAGAACGCGAAAACGCGAAAAACGCGAAAACCGCGAAAAACGCGAAAAGCGCGAAAACCGCGAAAAGCGCGAAAAACGCGAAAACCGCGAAACAAGGACAGAACACGTCCCTAAATTCCAAACCCTACAAGCCCTAAACTTACCCGAAACCGCCCCAAATAAACATGCTTTAAACCCTGAATGTGTCGTCAGAGTGGCCTGCGCGTAGCTCCAGGGGGGTATAGGGTTCAGGGTTTAGAGTTTCGACTTGGGGGTTGGGGATGGTTCAGGCGTTTAGGGTGGATTCTTAAGTATTGGAGTGGGTGCGGTTTAGGGTTTGTAGTTATAGGGCTGAGGTTTTAAGTTTTAAGGTTTCAGGGCTTAGGTCTGGGTTCGTTTGCTCCTTATCTCTCTGTCTGCCTCTCGGCCCTTCTCTCCTCTCTGTGTCTGTGTTCTCTAACACACACACACACACACCCACACACGTATATACATATATATATATATATGTATATATGTATATATGTATAATATATGCATAGTATATGTATAATATGTGTATAATATATGTATATATGTATATATGTATATATGTATATATGTATATATGTATATATGTATATATGTATATATGTATATATTTTTTTTTGTATAATATATGTCTAATATGTGTATAATATCTGTATATATGTATATATGTATATATGTATATATGTATATATGTATATATGTATATATGTATAAGGGATTCATGTGGTAGTGCATGCAAACAGAGTCCTCGTATGATGCTGAGCTCCTAACTGGTGAAGCTCTTTACACAGGGTTTTCTGGTTTGGGTTAAGGGTTTATGGGGTAGGGCTTAGGGCGGTTTATGGGCTAGAACTTGGGGCCTTGGATTTAGAGTTTGGGCCGTGCTTGCCTTGAGACAAACCCAGACGCCCAAGCTCTTTTATGTTGACGAAACATCCCTGTACAAAATCCCAAGCGCAGCAACCCAGCCTGGCAGACTTGCAACAGGCCGTCACAGTCCACGGCGTCGCTCTCATCCACCACTTCCGGCAGTCTTGAAAAGAGACTCGTGCCGAGGGCTCGAACAGGAAAAACGGGAAAACGCGAAAAATGCGAAAAAACACGAAAAACGCGAAAAGCGCGAAAAGCGCGAAAAACGCGAAAAGCGCGAAAAACGCGAAAAAACGCGAAAAGCGCGAAAAACGCGAAAAACGCGAAAAGCGCGAAAAGCACGAAAAGCGCGAAAAGCGCGAAAAACGCGAACAGCGCGCAAAACGCGAAAAAAGCGACAAGCACGAACCTACATGCATGTTCTTTTTGGTTTTTGCGTTTTTATCGCTTTTCGGGTTTTTATCGTTTTTTGTGTTTTTCTTGGTTTTTGAGCTTTTCTTGTTTTTCGACTTTTTGCGTTTTTCTTGTTTTTTGCGTTTTTCGACATTTTGCCCGTCTCCACGCAAACTCCGATACGGTACGACGCGCGAAATGTTTCCTTAGGGGACCCGGAAGCCCCTGGGGTGAGCGCTCAGGGTTTAAGTGAGCGCGGGGCAAAACCTAGAGGCCACGACTGAGACGTTTCATTCAGGGTAGCGCTTTCGGGGTTAGGCATCGCTTTCTCGGGCGTGGTGTCCAGGGGGTATCGCGCTTGGGGGTTGGGTGCCGCTTCCGCCGCAAGTTTGCTATGTCCCGCCCCGAGCTACCTAGAGAGGCATGGGAGTTAGCTAGTCGCTCAAGTTTTGCGAATTCGGCGATTGCATCTGAATTACGCTTTTGGGGGCTTTGGGGGATTTTGGGGGTTTCGGGTTCAGTTTTTGGGCCAAGCCCGCGACTCAAACAGTACAAGACATTGTGCCCACTTGGAGATTGTTCTGCTGGTTCTTACTAGGGAATGATGTACCCTATACATACATATATATATATATATGTAAAAGTATACCCTTTAAGGGAGTATGTAGGGTAAGAACCAGGGGGGATTGTTCTGGACTAGACTCCCCCTACTCTCAGAGGGCTAGATAGAGGCCCCCCAAACGCCCTGAACTTGACGGGGTGCAGGGTGCATAGGGCTGGGAGCTAAACCCAGATATGTGATTCCCTAAGCCCTAAACCCTAAACCCTAACCCTAAACCCTAAACCCTAAACCCTAAACCCTAAACCCTAACCCCTAAACCCCTAAACCCTAAACCCTAAACCCTAAACCCTAAACCCACCCTGCCGTCTTTGTCTCCGTGCAGCCCGGCCGATGTGCGGCTGCCTTTGAAACCGATGCTTTGTACAAGGCCTCTGCAGGCACGACATGCTTTCGGCTTGCATGTTGGGTTAGGGTTTAGGGTTTAGGGTCTAGGGTCTAGGGTCTAGGGTCTAGGATTTAGGGTTTAGGGTTTAAGGTTTAGGGGTTAGGGTTTAGGGTTTAGGGTTTAGGGCTTAGGTATGGTTTAGGGTTTGGGGTTTGGGGTTTAGCCTTTAGGGTTTGGGGTTTTGGGGTCTCGAAAACCTCTAAGGGTCAAAGCTTGCTCAGCGTGCTTTGCAGATCCTTCTCGCCGGCAAGCGTCTGGCCGCCGTTCTTCAAGAAGGACCTGATGGAAAAAAGGGCTCTTAAGGGAGGGGGATTCAAGGGGAGTATGTAACCCAAGGTGCCCTAGTACTCCCTACTACTCCCTAAGGCTCCCTAAGCTTCCCTAAGGTTTCCTAGGTGCCTACCCACACATGAACCTCCCTCCCTTAAGAACCCCATCATGATGAAGGCCAACGCCATGATCCCTAAAACGGGAACCTTTTCCGGGATTTCGTGTTGAGGGCTTCCCTAAACCCTAAACCCTAAACCCTAAAACCTAAACCCTAAATTTTGCAGGGTTTAGGGTTTCGGGGTCCTTGCTCTACAGCTCGCCCTCAGCTCGAAAAGACAACGAAACCTGAAAGCTCAGGAGCAAGGTCTAGGACTCGGCTTGGTAGCCCAGAAACCACATTATAATAAGGGCACCCTTTTTGGGGTTGGTTACTTTCTAAGGGAACCTTGAAGCACAAAAAGCAAAAAAAAACAGAAAAGTGTACCACTGGGCTACCAAGTCGGAGGCTTTGGGGCTCCTAAGCCACCAAAGCCCCACAAACCTAAATTGTGGTTGACTGTTTAGGGTTTAGGGAAAACCCCCTAAACCCTGAAACCCTGAGCAGACTGAGCCCTGAGCTAGGATTCAGATTCTTGGGAGTAGGTTTAGGGTTCAAGTGTAGGTTTAGGGTTTGGTGTTCAGGCCTTATGGGGAGGGTCTTTAAGGAAATAGAAATAGAAAGGGTACCCGGAATGATGGACATGTGACGCTCCTAGCTACCAACTATCAAGCCATCAGCACAAAGTCTGACTTCACCCCCCGTCTAACCTAAGAAAGCCCGTATGGGGTTGAGGCTTTGGGGCTTGGCCCTACCCCTAAAATCCCCAAACCACACAATCCCGAAACTCCCTAAAGTCCCAAACCCTAGGCCCCCCAAAAAAGGCCTCTTTCCGGTTCCCCTCAAGCCTCAACCCTCAACCCTAAACTCCCCCGCCCTTCCTTGGGGTCCCATGAGGTTCGGCTGAGCTCAGCGCTCCATGCGCTGCCGCGCTTGAGGTCCCCGGGCCGACCGGTAGAACAGCATCAAGTTCTCCTTTAAGGCCTGCCCAGCAGGACTTGTTGGGGTATGAATTAGGGTTTCGGGTTTCGGGTTTAGGGGTATCTGGGGTATTAGGGTAAGCATCAAGTTCTCCTTAATGCCTGCCCACGGGCTTCTTTGGGGTATGTAGGGTTTAGGGTTAAGTTTGGCATTTTGGGCATTTAGGGTATTTAGGGTATTTAGTGTATTTAGGGCATTTAGGGCTGGGGGTGTAGAAGAGCATCAAGTTCTCCTTCAGTTCCTTCCCACAGGCTTCTTTGGGGTATGTCGGGTGTTTTGGGTATTTTGGGTACTTAGGGTCTTTAAGGAATTTAGAGTATTTAGGGAATTTAGAGTATTTAGGGAATTTAGGGTCCATAGGCATAGGCCATTTAGGGTACTTGGGGTATTCAGGGTCTTTAGGGTCTCTGGGTGTTTTTCTAGGGTCTTTAGGGTATTTTGGGTCTGGGGGTGTAGACGAGCATTAAGTTCTCCTTCAAGGCTCGCCAAAAGATTTTTTGGGGGCAT